ATGGAATTGTAATCCTGTGCGCATCGTTATTAACGTCATCTATTACTTAACTGCTATTCCTGTAATACTTATATACCGCTCATTGGTTACAACGGAAGGTAAAAATAGATAGGAAAAAAAAACTGCGTTAAATACGTTTTAATCATGTCAGTTTATTATTATATTAATACAGTGTGATAAAATCGGACATATTAGTTCCGATCGAATTTCACGCCAAATGGAACTAATGATTCATCGGCGTTTCCTCAACTGTTACCGCGCAAACTTAGAATAACGTAATCTTAGCAAAGAAAACAATCTACCTTCTTAGTGGAAATGAAATCCATACCACTCACGTGATGTGACGACTTTCACCTTTCTCGGTGTTTCCAGAAATAACACTCGTATAGATGAGAATGAAACCGCCTGTACGACGCTCTAGACGAAGTAATATATATATTTATGTACGATGTCATTTCGTTATTCGAAACGGCGGCTCGAAATCGCTCTTTGCTTGCGAAACTCCCCTTAACAAACTGGTAACCATTTGAGCGAATATTATTACACAAGTGTGTCCAGGCTTTTTCCGCAAGTTCGTATGTTCTCTCCTCGACTTTGAGCAAAACGACACCCTGGATTCGCTCACATTTTTATCGCTCCTGTAAAACTTGAATCGTATCAACTATAATCGTAACTATTTATAAAAAAAAAAAAAACATTATTTTAACCTAGAATTTCTACGTTTTAGAATTAAAAGGGGGAAAGTGAGAAGAAAATGTATTCTTTAGTTTTAAATTCTGATTAATGAAAAAAGAATAAGAATTCGACGAGAAGTCTTTCAACATGTTGATTGCCGGATCGAACAATATTCTCTCGTCACGGACTTGCGGATCTAAATTCAGGATTTAGCTGTCGGTTTCTTTATTATTCGTTTCAGTCTCCACACGACACATCGTTCCGCCGACCATCAGCCGTTGCTCGGCAACCTCTGACTTGCGACGCGTCGTTATACGATGGCGGCGGGGGTGGATAATCGACGCAGAGTTCCACCCCTCCTCTCATTTACTCACACCTTGGGCAGGGTCCGAGTGGTACTCGTTGACCAAACGGTCATTACGACAAATGTTGGTTGACGATATTACCGTCAGATATTACGACAGCGAGCTAGAGGCTCGGTCATCTCATTGTAACCATCCTTTGGTGAATAGCACTGTTGGCACCTACCACATGCAGCTGCAAGATAATCTTTTTCGTCGGAGAGTTATGTACGTCCGCGAAGGAGGGATAAATTCGGTTTATTTCGTACGCCAAGCTTTAAGACATTTCTTTTCCTCATGACGACCAGCTTTCGAAATGAGAAGCTCACTGATTAGTTTTTCTAGTTTATACACCGTAGTATCCGGCTATTGTAATCTCTCAAGTGTGCTCTTAAACTTTACGTAATCGTCAAGCCATACGCGCAGATTGAGATAAAACTCGTCAAGGCTCGTATCTGATCCCATTAGTTACTACATCGCTCTTTTATCTCTCGCGCAATCTCGCATTTCAGGACGATTAACATTACGTTTCCCGTAAATTTCGCGTCACGAATTTATCCATATCATCTAGACTTACAACAGCACGTATATCCAAGATAATAGAAAACAAGATGATAGGAGAGCACGAATGACATTCTGTATGAGCAACATTCGTCTCGCACTAGAGAAATCTGAAAAATATCAGAAATATCAAAGAGGAAAAATTGTTACGAAAAAGTTTTGAGAAAAGTATTTATCGTCGATATTTATAGAAATGTATTACTACTACTAAGCTAGTGATTAATCATTTATTTTGAATATTTAAAACACCGTTGCTAGTAATTATAAAGCTCGCAGTGAAATATTTTGGGGTTGTACCTCGTCATTAATATAAATATTAATGTTTAATAGCGCAGTAGTGATGAAATACTCTTGCAGAAATTTAATACTGACTGAATTTGCAAATGACTAAATATTGAGAAAGTGGTATAATAGATAGTGAGCAAGCAAGTGTAACAGGAGGATGTTAGGTTCGATACTACCCTGTATTTGTTTTTTTTTTTACTTTAATATCAGTAAAGAAACAATCTTTTTATATATACGATTTGAAATATATTAACCAATAATTGAGTATTGGCCAAATAATTACAAAAATGCTAATTTAATCACTGTAAATTCGCTAATAATTCTCAGTATGAAATTTCTGTAAAGGAACACAATTAGAACATAACTTACAGAAATAATAGCCGGGGGAGAAAACAAGGTATAACAGTGTTGTAGGGGTCTTTGTAGAATATACATACGCACAGTCGATTTTACGTTTCGCGAGGGTCGCCGAAAGTTCGTAGCGCGCGCGGACAACTTCTGAGAAAATAATCCTGGTTAATTCCGTCGTCCAACTTGTAGCTCTGAAACTCTGGCTGAAGAGGAGAAAGAGAGGGGGTCTTCTTCACCGTACGCAATAAATAAATCCAATAAACAATGCGTGAGAGGAGAAGAGAGCGATCAAGCTGACGAGAGAGAGAGAGAGAGAGAGAGACAGGCGGAATTCTCGGGGCGGAAAAGAGCGCGCGTTGAACGGCGCGCTACCCTCGCAAACCCTCGGCGGCGGCAGGATGCCGAGGTCGACGCTATCGATTGGCGTCGGTGTTTCCTCGTCGGTATCTCTCCCTCCCTCCCGCCGCCGGGCAGGAACTCATCCCCGTCTCGCTCGGTCGCATGCTCTCTTCCGCCCTTCCTTCCCATCCACCCACTGCGGTAACAGGTGTTGGTCTGGCCCCGAACTCGTACAAAATCGATGGGCGAGAGCCACATCGCGAGGGATTTCCCCTGCCGACTCACCATTCCCCGCCGGCCTACCCCGTCGGTAACCCCTCGATGTAACCCCCTGCGATCAAGGAAGAGGAGGGTAGCGCGCATAAGAACAGGGGGAGCAAGGTGTGGGAGGACGCCAGCACAAGTTGCGCGCGGGGTGCAAGCGGGGAGGAAGCGCTGCACACGACGGCAAGGACGCAGGCGCCCGGGACGCGGGGCGACGCTCGTCGGCGACGCTGCATTGGCAGTTGCACCCCAGCCACACCCGGTACGAGCCATGTAGTCGGGCTACCCTCCACCGCGATACACGGCGGACAATTGTTGCTTCTGCGCCCACAGGTGGTACATCTTCGTCTTCGATCTTCGCGAAACTCTCGTTGGCGCCCACTGTTGTCAGTGCTCCTCGCTTTAGTCGTTTTCGTCGTCGTCGTCGTCGTCGTCGCCGCCGTCGTCGTTGCCGTCATCACCGTCGTCGTCGTAGTAATCGCCGTCGATCGCCGTCGTTCGTTCCACGTCACTGTCGTGCTGGTTGTCGTGGTTACGCCTCGTATATATCCGTCCGAGGGTCCCACCGGTTTGTGTGCTCCAAAATACCGGCGATATCGTTGCGGTGACAGACTCGTACGAGGATCCTTTCAGGAGGAACGCCGCGCAGGACGAAAGTAAAGCTTGGCGCGCGCTCACACCAGCCGCTTTTGACTGCGTGTGTGCACCGATAGGAAGAGTGCGCGGGGTTGGATTTCCGGGGTCGCGGAGAGGGCTAGAGGGAGCTATCGACCACACACGTAAGGCGGCACTCGCTCGCACACCGGCGCACACGGATACACAACATCGCGGACCTGTTGTCCAACTTGTTGCTCGTCCCTGCGAAGGCACACCACCCTCCGTTTACCACCTCCGACTCGAAGGAGAGCTTGTTTTCGAAAAAAAGCGTCGGTCGCGAAGAATCGGACGTCAGGACGCGACGCGACCACCAGACGGGAATAGAGTAGGCGAGGAGAAAATCGAGCTTTAACAGCCAACCTATCGGCGCGTTTAGGAAGAAGAACGAGGGAGGAAGAGAAGGGAAGGAAACGTCGAATTTCTACTCGCTGTGGGAAGAGAATCTGCTTTAATCGTCGTACTTGGCGAAGAAAGAAACCACTCTCTATGAGCCAGGAAATGCGTCCGAAATATTCATCCCAGGTGGAACTTTGCAACTAATGGCGCGCGCCGAGTAATTCAGAGGACCAACTTAGAGAAATTCCACTATTCACGGAGTCGTTACGTTTTAAGAAATTGTTAAGGAAGCAACTGTGGCTAGAAGTCGTTTCGAGCGGAATAATTCGGTTACCTCAAAGAAGCCCTTTCATCCAGGCGGAATATCGTGATACTGTCGTCGAGATGTGGATATCTTGTGGCAGTGCCTACCGACGAGACGAAACGTTGTCAGCTGCAACAACCGGGCGGCGAGTGAATACATCGATTACCTCACTGACCTAGAGCGACGTTTTCGCCGATGTACGCATCGCCGATTTATCGCGGTGATAAAAAGAGATAGACGGCTAAGATGTAGTAAACACGCGTGGACGTGTGTTCTTGCGAAGGACGACGTCTCGCATTCACCGAGAACATGAGAATAGCGGAGTCGGAGGTTATGTAAATTTTCTTCCACCCGTGAATACAACGAAAGCAATATTACAAACAAGGTAATCGAGGAACAAAGCGTGTACACACGCACGCGCAATACATACATCTTTCCCGTCGACCCTAAACTTCGTCTGATCGTGACCGCACTTCTCCGTGTACATTCCGACCGATTTACTTCGCCTTGAGAAATATTTTAATACAAAAGTATACATTCTCTCATTACATTACCGCCCTATATGTAATTATAACATACATCCCATTCGAGCAATCGTGCAACGACCTTTAGAATTTAGCATCGAGCGTTTTATCCTACCTCGAAGAGAAAGAGCAAGATACATCGATGTTGCGACTCTTGCCGAGGTGGAAGCTTCACGGACGCATCGATTGAGCGCATCGAGAAATGACGTGGTGTCGTACGCACAATTGATATTTCTTGGAACGTGCACTTTCCAAGCTGGCCTTGTGACAGGCCGTTACTCAAATGTGATCGTCGTCCGATCAATCCTCACCGATACCTCGGTGTTTTGTTAATTACCCGGCAGGAAGATACTAGCAGCCAAGATGCCGCGATGCTACATGGTGAAGAAGGCTCTGTGCAACAAGTACATAAGCAGCGTTGCCAGAGGATTCGAGGGCTGGAGCCGTGGAAGGAGCACCACGCCATCACCAACCACCATACAGCTGCCCGCGGAGGGTTGCGACGCACCGTCTGTTGCTCAAGGTACATTACAAGGTGAATTTAGCCGACAATTTACGATCATTCGCCGCGAACTCAAAATTATCCATCCGAGGATGGTTCGAACGAATCTGTCTGAATAAAATAAAAAGGAAAAGAATAAAAAAAATGGGCAGGCAAAAAAGAAAAGTAATTGATTCTTCCGAGTGATTGAAGTTTTTCATTCGATATTATTATTGGGAACAAATATGCCATGCTATTATTTTCAGTATCTACAGTTTTGGAGAAAGAAAAAATGCTTAATTGAATCAATCGTAGAGTTACTTCAATCAAACGGTAATTACTTATTTCAATCATATATAATGACAAACCCTTGAGGAACATTGTCGCTCGCAACTGCCGTGGCAAACTTTGCTCGCGCCTGGGTACACATACTGGGGTCAACATCTGATATAATTCGAATATTGTCTTAGGTGTGTATTTCAAAAAACTATATAAGTGCTAATAAATTTGGCTATAAAAAAACCACTGATTAGTTATTTTATAATGCTTTTCTGTAGAAGTATAGGCGCGAGCGAGGTAGTCGGCACCACGTCGCGATGAGACACTCTTCGCTGAGAGTTGATCGTTAACTTAATATAACATTGAATCAAGAATCACTTCTTACAAATCACACCGATGCTGTTGAATCAACTGCTTCTTTTCGAAGGAGAAACTATGACACGCAGAAATGTTAAAACGGATATGTAAGAAAGTCGGGCGCTTTTAAAACGAAACGTGCACTTTCATAACCGAGTTATCGTGAAATTTTATATCCGCTTACTCCCGGAGACCTTCTTGGTCCTCCACTCCTTTGACCTCGTTTCTAACATATTTGCCGTCATGATCCCCCTACCGATCCGTGCAAGCCACCTCCTCCGTGCCCTATATCGCTGCACTTCCTCCTACCGCCATCCAAGATTCGACACTCTTCGCTAGCATGCGCCGGTAACGAGAATCGGATACACTTCTTTGGTGTCCCATTTAAAAGCTCACGGTCGTTAAATCACGATTAAAAAGTCAAATGAAAATGGAAAAATGCGATTACACTCTCGCGATACTCCGACAGCTTTTCGCAATAACGTATATACCACGTGTTCCACTTTATACTCGAACCAATCTTGAAACACAATACGTAAAACATGATTTATATGTCACTTAAGCATATTAATTTATTTCGACTTAAAATATTGGTCAATTCAGATATTATGCACAATTGCGTAATAAAATCTTCAGTGAAAAAAAATTACATACAGGACTTGTATATTTTGCGGTTCTTAACATACATAAAATTACTAGTCGGGACAACAACTTGCCAAATGTTTACCAACTTTAAGCCTCCTCCGTTATTGCTTTTTCACAAACAAAATCAATAAATAATCGTAAAATTTCACAAAATCATAAGAAAAGAGGTTAATATTGCGACTGTTTATTGATTGTTCGAGTAAAAGAAAAATATTTGTACAATTTTACAAGTGTCATTTGACCGTTTTTTGTGATATAAATATATCGAAGATTTCTTATTTAATTATAAGATATCTAAGCGTACCCCAACACACATGCCAAATACTTATTTCTACGAAGAAAAATAGTTTGTCACGATTCTTCCTACCATTACGACCGATTGTGCCACACTGTTCGACGGTTTCCCTCTTCTGTCAGACGTTATACTATTGAAATTTTAAACACTAAAAACTACTACTTAGAAGGCGCATTGGACAAAGACACTATCCATTTTTAATGTAGATTCATCAAGGAGATAAAAATCAATGAAGCGCTCACTGTGTCCTCTCTTTATTAAAGTTAAAAATATAGATTAACGACCATAGGGTAGCAAAAAATCATGCTTTTTTTATTCAATGCCTGTCTCAATGTATATAAACTAAAGTCTTCCGAAGTTAGTATAGGAAATTAATTTTCCTAAATTAACTAAAGAAAATTGAATTCGCTTTGAGTGTGCAATAAATAGTAAGACAGGCCAAAAGTCTGTATAATATCTCCAGATTCCCCATAAATTCTTCAACGTCCACGATATTTGCAAGATTAATAGAATTGAAATTTCGACCCAAGTATGTATCTATCGATAAAATTGGCTCCCGTTCCGAAGAAATGAATTTCCGCGGAAACAAAACTTAATCTCGTTCTTTTCGCGATCTCCCAGAATGCGTCAACACGAAGGATACAGACGACGTTGCGACTCGCGCAATGCCCAACGAGGAACCTTCGGAGGAACAACAACCGAGCGACACGGGCAATTGCACCGTGATAACACCCGCTGCGATCACACGAATGGAAAGGACCACCGCGACATCCCTGACGAATCTGTTCCCGACGACCGTCTCTTCCGGAGAGGCAGTAATGGCGACGACGACGACGACGACGACGACAACAACTTGTTCGAAAGAGTTTACACCGAGCATCACGACGCTCCAGCAACCGCCATCTCAAGAACCTTCTCCGCTGTCCGGCGCACTGTATCACTTGGAGGAAAACGCCACGAATACTTTAGACTCGGAGCACACGAGGACACGACTGGCTGCTTCCTGCGCCGTGATACCTAGTCACGCATCGCCCGTGTTCAAGGACCGTTCCGCCGCAGAGACGGAAGCGGCGCACGATCTTCTGGAGCTCTCTCGGTCGCTGCCGCCGTTGCCGCCACCGAGCGTCGCCATCGGCCCTCAGAGCGTAATCGAGGCACCGGCGAGCGACGTTCAGGAGATGACGGTCTACCAACCGGCCGAGCAGTCGATTTATCAGGTGAACACAATCGACCTGACCACTTCGACCATCTATCATCAGCAACAGCAGCAGCCAGTCGCGGCTGCAGCCGGCATCATCTACGACAGCAGTGCTACCATTGTTCCACCTACGGGCAGCGTTTTCATACCCTTACGACCGGTACAGGAGATTCTACTGACATACAGCGCGTCCACCATACCATGCGCGTCCATTATCGCTCAGCAACCGCTACCGCCGCAGCAACAGCCGCAGCAGATCGAGGCTGCGCCGCCGCTAACGCCACCAAATTCCGAATGTAGCAGCGACATCGAGAACAGTAACCCGAACTCGCAGCCGACGCAGAAGGACAAAGAGGTGCAGACTGGAGCGGAACAGACGGAGGGGGTGAAGCCAGCCAGTTATACCTATGACACGTTACTCGTCTCGGACGGCAGATCGAAACACAAGAGAATGATCGTGGTGCAAAAGGACCAGTCGACGGAGGCGGTCGAAATGGCTGAGTATACCAAGACTGGACGTTACGCGTGCCTCCAGTGTGGTGGGTATCCTTTTGATGAACGATTCGATATATTAACCCACCTTCTCCTCTCTAACCTACGCATTTTTGCCGTCAGGTAAGCAATATGCGACCTCGTCGAATCTGTCGCGGCACAAGCAGACCCACCGCAGCATCGACTCGCAATCCGCGAAGAAGTGCATCCATTGCGGCAAGGCGTACGTCAGCATGCCCGCCTTGGCGATGCACGTGCTGACGCACAAGCTGACGCACAGTTGCGGCGTCTGCGGCAAGATGTTCTCGCGACCTTGGCTACTTCAGGGTCACCTGCGCAGCCACACAGGCGAGAAGCCGTACGGTTGCGCCCACTGCGGCAAGGCGTTCGCCGACCGCTCGAATCTGCGGGCGCACATGCAGACGCACTCGGCCGACAAGAACTACGAGTGTCCCAAGTGTCACAAGTCGTTCGCGCTCAAATCCTACCTGAACAAGCATCTTGAGTCGGCGTGCCAGCGCGAGAACAATGATGAAGAGGACAGCAACGACGTCGACACGCCAGGACCGGAATAATGACCGACCGACGATCAGGTGGGTCCTCAGAAGTAAGCTCCGCTTTGTTGCCGATGATGAGCCAACGATTTACACGGAACACCGCGAATCTATCCCCAAACTGTACGTTCGCGGGCTAACAATTCAATTCGCAATTTCCAGCCGGTCGTGTAAACCTGCGAAGACTGCGCAGCCATCACATGCGGTATAAAGAAAAAAGCACTTTTGCATGCTATTGAAAGCAAAGGGAAGGAAGGGCTCGATCTATCATTGCGCTCGATAACGACAGCGAGCTCTCGCCGTAGAATCGACAAGATCGATTTGAACGGGTGGCGCCAAAATACGAACATGCGCGTGTGGAACAATGAGAAAGCATTACGAGCAGACGGAAGGAAGAAGAGAGAGAAAGAGAGAGAGGGCTTTCAATTAGTCGATAAGTAGTCTCTTGTAAAACGGGCTCGAGAAAAAAAGAGTTTCACTCTTTCCTACATTATAGATCATCGAGTTTCATCCAATTTTCAAAGATATCTCTCTCTCTCTCTCTCTCTCTCTCTCCCTCTCTCTCTCGGTAAAGTAATTTGATTTCCTCAGCGACGCGTCGCGGGGAAGTGAAGTGGGGAGGGACGGGAAGGAAGTGGACGGCGAAAAATCTCGAACGAGAAGGTAATATATCTCGTCTCTTCCTCTCGGGAAGTTCCTCTAAATGTTTCGAGCTATTTTTACAATCATTTTCTCTCTCTCCCCCGAGAACGGGTGAGTCAAAAGTGAAGCAAGCGTGCATTCCTCCATGTAGCTTGCTGATTATGGCCCACTTGGAAGAAGAAGCGGATCTTCGCGAGCGGTCGGTATGCACGGAGAAATTGTCGGCGGCAACGATGACTTATATAATGAACATTTCGACTGGAGGTGAAGAACATGTCAAGGCAAGAAACTCGCTTTCAATCGATGAACGCACCGAGTAAAACGTCGCCGAGAAATCAATCTTCCAGATCGGTCTGAACAGTGGTCCATAATCAGCTTCCTCCCAACTCATTGGAAACTTCCTCCGATTGCTTCCTTTTCGACTGGGCAATTACAGTCGCGTAACAAACGGTCGCCGACGAAGAAAGAAAGCGAGTGAACAATAAAGGAAAAACAAAGAGAGGGAGAAGCTCACGAGAATAAAGCGCGATATCAACGGCGAAAAATCTTCGAGGGATGATCAAACTCGGCGTAAAGTTGCTTAAAGGATGAAGCAAACTGGAAACGTCGCACTCCAACCAAACGTTTCTTTCGTATTGCAACGTCAGCCCGGTGGATTACTATATGAATTAGCGCACAGTGATAACAACTTTCTCTCTTCGTCTTTAATCTTCAACGCCGTTAACCGACTTTTCTTTCTCCTATTCAGAGATGGAACTAATCAAATTCAAGTTAATCGATCGTCCATTTCTCAGTCGTATATGTTTTCATACGCGTTTCAAAACTCTCTCACGACCTCGAAATTATCAAGATTTATTCTTTCTAGAGGGAGAAAGAAACTTCTCTTCGGTTTTGTTCGGCTAATGAGAACATCTGCTTCGCATCAATTACTTTAACCAAGTTCATCATAAAGATTCGACATAAGGAAGATCAATATTTCAATACTCACCGCGAGAGATTGATATTACGAAACCGCACCACAGACGTATCTCACTTCGTGAATTCGCAAAAACGACGAGTCAAAACGCTCTTGGTGTGAAAAGCGATAAAATCGATCGCGGGCAAAATATATTTCTTGTGTAGCTTAAAAGAGCTACTTTTTTCATCCGCTTTTCACTCGTTGGCACTCGAAGGAGAACATTATTTTGGCCATGAATATATCTTTCATTTAGATTTCGCGACATAGATAGATTTTGGCGTGAGTTATCACAAAAAAAAAACCACTTATCATTTTGATTAATTTAAGAGCTCGCCGCATAACGCGCCACAGAGGACGACCTTTCGTACATTTGAAAGTGTTCTTGCGCGATTTTTGTACCTGGAATCCTTGGCATAACACACGCGGGTACTTGCGGAAAGTTTTCATCAACATTTCACGTAAACTGGACCACCTGTTGAATGCAAAAATGACCATTCGGTGGCAAAAGGGTCGGTCATACGGCTCCCTTGAATTATGGAATACATCATTTCCTCGGTTGTTAAAAGCGCGAACAAGATCTCGGTCAATCGCGACGTTTCTCGTCGAAGTTTATCGATCTCTTCTTTTTTGCGCTTGCTGGAAGTTTGCCATTCCGGGAAGAGAACCACGGAGGGAGCATCGCAAACTCTATAATCGGCGTTGAGTAGCAGCTTTTGCATCAACGACGTTTATAAAGATTTTCAGGCTGTATCAATTAGGCACATTTTTTAAACTAATTTTTATCACTTCGCATAATTGAATTTGAGATTATTTTTACCGAGTTTTTTTCTCCTTTCATCGTGTTTTTCCTTTTTATTCGAATTTCTTCTACGTTTGTTCTACGTGGTCACTAGAATTTCCAAAGAAGATGGGAAAAGAATATTTGTGATCGATTATGTTTGATATATATTATTTATTACTATAAATTATCATACATATGAACCAAGTGATTTTATACATGTGGTAGAACGAGAATGATTTCTTTTTTTACCAAGTTCGTCGTATCTAGTCATATAATTACCTTACCGCATCGACCATAAGCGGAGAATATGCGGTTCTCTTAGCAATATGAGAAGGGATATATACAGAGTGTTGCATCAACGTATAGAGTAGCATACCGCTGCACGTATGAAAAAGTGAGAGTGCACCGAGCCGGTTGTAGCTACTATATATATATATAATAATACCGTCGCATGTGAGAATGTTTCGCGAGAAACTGTCGAGTAAGGAGGATGAAAGGAGTGGAATCGCGTATATACGAATGCGTTTCGTATAGTGACCTGCAATGTCATACCAAAGATAGAAGGCAGACACAGGGAAGAAACCGGCGGGGGGTAAAGAAAGTATTTACGATCTAGTCAACAAGTTGCGCTTGAATTACATTCTTTTATCTTAGTTGCCTAAGGTGATTGCTTGTACAGTCGAGATGGACTCATCGTATTTATACATATGTATTTCGCTCATTTACTTTCTCTCTCCTATAAATTAACTTAGAGATATTTTGGTACGAGACATTTCTTTTCTCAGCGGCTGTAAAATAGCGGGAAGGATCAATTGAAGTTAAGTAATTTAAACGCCTTGTGTGTATACTCGACGAGGAAGAAGGAGAGAGAGCTTTGCTGATTTTAGTTAGTACAAAAGTGTCGACACCAAGGGATATTCTCGACCGAATGCTTATCATAATATTCGAGACGAAGAAACGCGACGATACATTGAAGAAGAGACGCCGTCTTACCAACAAGTAGTAATGTTTCCTCCGTCTCGAGAACGCGATATTTTATTCTTATAGTTCGTCACGTTTCGACGAGATGAGAGTCGTCTCACAGAAAAGTGGATCTTCATTCTTACGGGAATACGCACGTAGTTCTGAGGCCACATTTTTTGCAATTAACTCTTACATATAGATACGTTCGTCTCTATACTATACTACGATACTCGACAGTCAATCGAATCTATAATTAATAGCGTAACCGTAGTCAATAATAGAAGATCGAGAAGAAAGAGGAGGAAAAGAAGCGAGGAATGTACACTTTTCTCATTTGCCGAACAAATTTTTTCCCGCAAAGTTAGGAGCATATCGCAATTGTGAGCCAGGCTGACTCTCTTGAACCAAAGCGACGATATAAATATTGACCTTTCGTTATATTTGAAAAATATAATAAATGCACTCATTTATCCCGCGTGTGTTTATTCTCCGTTGTGATACATTGTCGGCTCCATGCAAATTGATAAGTTGTGATCTGTGTTCCTAACTTCGCCGGAAAAAAAGAAAAAATCTGTTGAAGCCGTTTCTCGAGACGAATATACACTGGCTTTCAAAGCGGTTTCTTTTGACACAGAGCTTCGGAACAGAGGTGATAATCCAACGAGAGACCTGAACTTTTGCAAATTAATCGAAAGTAAGTTCTCTCATTGACAAGCATCGGTCACGTTTCGAGTTACATCGAAAGGAAATGCTTTCTTGAAACCCAGTTGTATGTGATTAGCTACCGTCATGGCGCCATAGTTACAGCATAGTTGCAAGAAAAGACGTCGCTGTACGATTTCGCATATATCGTGGACGGCTATCTATTTCTTTGAAATGCTTCATACCTCTTCCTGCGAGGTAAGAAAGTTTACGTCGACGAGTCAATTAACGTCCCGGATGAATTACTCGAGTAAAGATATTTTTTCATCACACGACGATCCGAATAAGCAATGACACAGAAGTCTCTTTCCATTTGCACGCGATATTAATCGGCGCATTTTTCGTCGCGAGAAAAGACGTGAAATCGTGCATCATGTCGACGCGATATACTCAACGATTATTCAATAAAAGAGCAAGAGAACAAGAGGGAGAGCGAGAAAAGTATGATCGATGAAGGAATGAAATTCCTTACCGCAGAACTGATACAGAGATATGCTAAACCAATTATATATAACAGACGGGCAGTCGTTACTATTTTTTAAATAACTCGAAATGGTTTAAGCCAGGCCCCAGGACGATCATGCCTCGTACGTTTCTCGGTCTGGAAGGAATCGCCGGACTGAACGAGGCGAAAGCGATCTCGCAATCAGGCGCATTCACCTCAGAAAATGGAGAAATCGCTTCAAAAAATTATTATAAACTTGAAGAAAAACCACGTTGCCCATATTATGAGTCGAAAATAGTCTCCACCGAAGCGAGACTTTTCAAGATCTTATTTCGTCACAGTCAAACGGCGATAATTATTCGTGTTATTATTTGCACTCGAAATTTTTTAATGCGATAATGAGCGATCATTAAATCGAATGAGAGCGTCCTACGGAAAAAAATTACTCAAAAGCAACACTTGAGCGAAAGAGGGCACAAAATGGTCGCGCATTAATATAAAGACTCCCAATTTAAAGAGGACCAAGTTGC